TCACAGCGAGACGCTGCCCTGAATATGGCTCAGCCAAAGGAGTTCTGCGTTTTGAAGCAGGATTATCCTGTTGAAATTTTGGGAGTCCCATTGGGGACAATGATACATGGAGGAAAAAATGCCGACAACGGCAGAATGATATACCGAATCACTACGGAGACAAATGTTCGGATTCCTGGAATCCAAATAAACAGGTTAAGATGGCTCTACGACGGAAAGGAGCACCAATGGATGAACAAGAACGGCCATACTCGAGGGTCGGTGATCGCTAGCCTGCCGAAAGAGGCTCTTCAACGCGAGGTGATTCGAAACGGCATTGTACTCAATTCAATGCTGTACACGGCCCAGCTCTGGTCACCCCGAGCACAAGTTAAGCAGTGCTTCAACTGTAGTCAATGGGGGCATACTCAAGCCTCGTGCAATAGGGTGAAAAGATGTGGTGAGTGCGCGGGCACTCACCAGACTAGAGACTGCCCGAGGAAGTCGATGCTTTGTTGCAACTGCGGCAAAGCCCATAAATCGTGGCAGAAGGAGGCGTGTCCAAACTTCGCGTCCTACAAGGTTAGTGTCCAGAGGGCACGGTATGGACTTTGGGAAAGAACGGCAGATCTAAGAAGGAAGGAAATAACAGCAGCGGCCACTACAATATCACCAGCGGCAAAACAAGTAGACAACCAAGGGTTTACACTGGTGTCCAACCAGAAGGCAGAGGTCGTAAAGAGAGGGCCAGGGCGCCCGCGGAAAAATCCCGTGGCCACAGCCCCACCTACACACCAATTTGCGCCATCGGGGTCGAACTCAAGACCACAGTCATCACTTTTCGGCACGCGAGGGCTGGGAAAGGATGGCGAGGTCACCTATAACTTTAGCTAGTCCTGTCTCGGACTAACGGCATATTGCGCTTCCTGTAGGTTAACGAAGTACTACAGTAATAATTTGAAGGAGAAGGGGGTTTTTATCGCAAGGTTTCCCCCTCATGTAAAATATCTATAAATAGAGTTTAAAGCCACCTGCATGGGCCCATAGGGCGCCAAATCAGGGTAATGAAATCAAATTCAAATTGAAATCAAATTCAAATTGAAATCAAATTCAAATTGAAATCAAATTCAAATTGAAATCAAATTCAAATAATAATAATAATAATAATAATAATAATAATAATAATAATAATAATAATAATAATAATAATAATAATAATAATAATAATAATAATAATATGCTACAACTGCAGTCAATGGGGACATACGCAGGCGTCATGCGGAAAGGCAGCTAGGTGCGGTGAGTGCGCAGGTGCTCACCAAACCCGGGACTGTCCTAGGAAAAGAGTTTCTTGCGTCAACTGTGGCAAGGAACATCGTTCGTGGCAGAGAGCGTCATGTCGAACATTTCAAGCCTACAAGGGAAGTGTTCAGAAAGCCCGCTTCGAGCTTCTGGAACGAACGGCGGAAATTCGAAGGGAAACCAGTCCCATAATTGTGTCGCAAACAGCATCAGCGACCACCGACGATCAAGGGTTTACACTGGTTACTAATCGAAAGGTTGAACCCCAGAAGAGGGGACCAGGACGTCCACGAAAGGTGATCGCAGACTCAACGGCAGTACTAAACACATTAAGGGCAATGACACCGGCAGTTCCAACGATTCCGTCATCGAAAAGAGGAGAGCAGGATGGTGTAAGAAATCTTCCAAACTTCAGCTGAATAGGGATCGGGGCGATAGGGGAGTTAACATTTGGGGTGAGACAAAATTGAATGGAACAAAGGGACAGCCTCAGCATCAAGCTGGGCTGTGCCGTCGCGGCGGAACTATGGGTTTTGTTGCTTGAAAGCTTTTTCCCTATTTTACATGGCTTACCGTCTTCATGGTTCTGTATATAGATACCGCATAGGACGTTAAACTAGATCAAATTCAATTCAAATTCAATAATAATAATAATAATAATAATAATAATAATAATAATAATAATAATAATAATAATAATAATAATAATAATAATAATAATAATAATAATAATAATAATAATAATAATAATAATAATAATAATAATAATAATAATAATAATAATAATAATAATAATAATAATAATAATAATAATAATAATAATAATAATAATAATAATAATACCCTGTTGAAATCTTAGGAGTCCCACTGGGGACAATAATTCACGGAGGAAAGAATGCCAACAACAGCGTGGCAATATTTAAAATGACAACGGAGACAAAAGCACGGATTCCAGGGATACAAATCAACAGGGTGAGATGGCTCTATGACGGGAAGGAGCACACCTGGGTGAAGGAAAATGGCCATACTCGAGGGTCAGTCATTGCGAGCTTACCGACCGAGGCTCTACAACGCGAAGTGATTCGAAATGGCATTGTAATGGACTCAATGCTCTACACGGCCCAGCTCTGGTCACCCCGGGCACAAGTCAAGCAGTGCTTCAACTGCAGCCAATGGGGGCACACCCAAGCATCCTGCAACAAGGCAAGGAAATGTGGAGGGTGCGCGGGCACCCATCAGACCAGGGACTGTCCGAAGAAGTCGGTACTTTGCTGCAACTGCGGCAAGGCCCACTTATCGTGGCAGAAGGGGGCGTGTCCAAGCTTCGCGGCATACAAGGCCAACGTTCAGCGGGCACGGTATGGACTCATGGAGAGAACGGCCGAACTAAGAAGGGAGAGCGAAACACTAACGGAGTTACCTCAACTAAATACTGCTAACATACCAGACGACCATGGGTTCACACTAGTGACCAACCAAAAGCCAGAAGGCTTCAAGAGAGGGCCGGGACGCCCGCGAAAACAAGTTCAGGTCCCAGCCCCAACACAACATCTATTTGCGCCATCGGGGTCGAAATCAAGACCACAGCCATCACTTTTCAGCACGCGAGGGCAGGGAAAGGATGGCGAGGTATACTTTAGCTAGTTCTATTTCGGACTAACGGCCATTTGCACTTACTGTAGGTAACGAAGTACTACAGGTATAAAATTTTTAAAGGGGGAGGGGGTTTTTATCGTAATGGTTTCCCCCTCATGTAAATATATAGTTTTAGGTTTATAGTCACCTGCATGGGCCTTAAGGCGCCAAATCAGGACAATGAAATCAAATTCAAATAATAATAATAATAATAATAATAGTCTCAAGTTCAGTTCACGTGTTATTGTCGATTAGTCAGTGCCACGAGACACTTGCGTGAAACAATTGTTATCATAAACCGACCAAAAAAGAGCCACAATTTCTCAACACATCCCCATATTACCACTATCATAAAGCTAACCGCGATCAGGTCAGATTTTAGGGTCGGAGCCCTACTCATCACCCACCCTTGATCATGGAGGAGAAGCCATCCGATGAGTTTCCGGAGCGTGCCCAGCACCCGATACGGAGACGGTAGATTGGATCAAGATGGCCTCGACTGTTACAAAGAAGTTAGATGAAGATGAATATGCGTACCTCAGGTGGTCCCGGTGTCTAGACTTTGCCTGGCTGTGGCTGCAATTTTTTGAAACTTTTTCCCATGCATGCAGTTTCCATTAGTTGCATATTTTTTTTTTTTTTTTTGATAGAAGATCCTGTGCAGAAGGCGGCTAGATTTCCTGGGAAAATACTGAGCTATATAGCCATCGATTGTGGGAATTCTATCTAAGATTCTTTCGTCACAAAGCACAATAGGAGCAATTTCCAAGGTGTGGCCTGGGTCGGCGAGGGGCTAAACAAGCTTGATGGTCTGTGACTTAATTGGTACAATAAACTACCGGAAATAAAACGGCTCATTGCGGGAATGTAGCTGCAGGTCAACGTTTCTTTTTGGTGTGCGTTAGATAACTCTATCGCCCACAAAGAAAACCACACTTTTGATACCTCAGACTTTGCCTCAGTGCTGAGTTATGTTGGGTCTAACCGTCTTGATAACTCGTTGAATTCGCGCCGAGGCACCAATCTTTGTAAAAATTGCCATACGCACACATAGTAAGAGGGCAAAGACTCATTAGCTGTCTGGAATATCCTCTACAAATCTGAGAGTGAAATATCCCCACAGAGCCAAATTAAGTCAAATTTCCCAATACCAAGGAAGTTGGCCCACGAGGCAATGGTTCAAGATACTCCACAATGTAAACCATTCAATCTCAATGACATCAGTTCCAACCAAAAGATCATCAAGTTTACAAGTACAACCGAATTCGTCCTCATTTCAATGACCATACCTCTCGTCGACTTTATCTGGCCTCAGATCGTCACCATGTACACGCCCACGCCTATATTTATACCCGCAGAAGGAAGCAAAGCGTGGCACTCAAAGGTGGGGGGCAGGCTTTTGAGATATTGGTGAGAGAAATTAGGTTAATTTGACTCGATGAAGTAAGCGTTGAATACAATCTCAAAAGGGGTAATATTTTGTATTCTGGCAAGCAGTTTTACAAGTTGAGTTTTATGCGCGCCAGGACTTCGGTTGCAAGAGTGGAGACAATGCTATAAAAAAGTCATGGTTGGATTGTGCGGCGGTTCAGCATTTGGGTCGGTCTTCCAAACTAAGTCGTGATAACTTGGACACCTAGCCTATTTGAGACCGAAGGTCACTGGTTCGACTGTAGGGTTAACGCACCATATTTATCTCTTTTTGGATTAAATGATGAGAAAGTCAAACTAGTGTCATCAATGAATTTGAAAGTCCCCTTTGGATTCTCATGGGGAAGGTTCGATTATTTAAAGTAAATATGTCTCAAAATGGTATTCACGAGAAAATCACATAAAATAAGGGTCTCTAAAGCCAAGAGAGTTATCCAACATTCACACTTACCATTGTCATTTGTCTTAGCTAGATAGCTACTTACACTGAAATCGTACAAAATAGAGCAGCTATGTTATTGCTTGACTCATGATCCAAATATGTAGGCATGGAGAACCCAAATCTGTAGCGCAGTCTTATATGTAGAGTATTCAATGATGTACAAGGCTCACACAGTACTTCAATTTATCTGCTTCGTCGGATGGTAATTATCTCAAGCTTCAATGGAGCAAAATGAGATATTTTGATCTGGTAGAATCGAACTTTCGTTTTTAACGCGGGTCAATACTCTCATTATAACGCCACAAGCGCGATCTTTCTTGTCAACAAGGATGATATATTCATATGTATAATCATAATCTCCAGAAGTATGATCTGGTGATAATTGTTAGTCCTGCCGTGATAATACGATGGAGGGATAATACCTGTCGTCAAATTATCGAGGATGTAAAACTTGGAAACTTGAGACTCATTTCCAAACAAGACAGAATTCTGATTTCTGGAATCCTTCATCATGTAACTCAATTGGTCAGTCCAAGACCAAGAAAGTTTATTTTCTGCCACTCTTTTTATCTCTGTCCGTGGTGTCCTTGCAAAATCTTTTTTACTGATATAGCTTTGGTGACAATTAAATTTTTTACTTTCCTCAGGTATGTGGTCTATAGTGGAAACAGCCAGGACTGTCAGAAAGATGCTTGCGCTTTGAAAGATTATGGCTATGCTAGAGAAGCGCATGATAACTGATCAGTTGAGCCTGATGAAACTTGTCGGTCGATAGTAGCACTAGGAAAATTTGCTGAGCGATGGCCATTTTAAATACTTGTGTTTCTATCCTTGCCATCTGTTTGCTGGACTGCAGTGCCAATTAATCTGGACAATCACAAGACATTGGTGCATGGAGCTTGTAATTCTTTTCGTTTCCTCTCTTCATCCGTAATCCTTCAAAATTTCTTGGCTGAAACGTAAACACGTCTAAATGATGGAGAATTTCCCTCTATTTTCACCCATTCTCTTTCGCATAGCTGGACGCTTCAGATGAGATACTCTTGTTGACATCGTGCAATAAAATTGACGCAATATTTATGGAACGAATGAAGAAGTTGCCTTGTAGAGTGTCATGTTCAAATTACGGCTAAAAGAGTGGGAGGTATGCGCTACAGGTACACACGTAAGCGACACAGAGCTTAAGCCATCGCATAAACAAATGCGGCGCCATCCATGCGTAGAAACCCCTTGACAAACTCCTTGCACCCACGCCATATAGCTGCTCATGTATTTATTGGGTAGTCTGAAGAACTATCACATTACACATTCTAACTTCTTAAATACACACAAGATCTTGTCGGGAACCTAGATGAAATGGAGGGCCCATACGTCCACAACACTCTGTGTCCCCATTTCCAACAACTCTCGCTGATCACGTAACGCTCCCCACCGTGGTCCTGTTATCCTCAGACTGCTGTTCCCCCATTTCCACTCATTTTAGTGGATCGAAACCCTCCTATTCGCCTATTAGCTTGTAGAACTAGTGGTCCATTTTGGTTTGTAAGGGTGAGTCGAATGACTCGTAAATGGTTGTCTTGATGCGTGCTCGTTCCCTTCGATTTGATGTCAAGCATCTCCCAATCGCAGATTTATTTATAGCCTGTTGGATATGGTAGCTGGCAAAGAAGACGGCCTAGTGTTCAGGATATGACAACTTAAATGCTGAGTCTACCCCACTTAACTTGAGTATGCAAGCAGAATCACTTCCAAACTAGAACAGGTATAGGCAATAACTTGGCTTACTTTAAGAAGATTGGCAAGAGTGAGACAAACATTTGCAATTTTTGCAAATATAGTATTCAGACTACCCAGCATCTTATACTCAACTGTCCAGCTTTCAAGCATTAGAGGAGGAAAGAATTCAAAGGTATCATACCACTAATACTTCCCATAATCTTTAATACATTGATAGGGAAGCACGCACTACTAAGATATCTGTCAACAACCAAATGCCTAACAAGGGGTAAAGGGAGTGATTGGTATAAAGAACATACTTGAAGATAACAATTGCTCGGAAATAATATGTAATTGGTATATATAACCAGTTACTCTAATTGGCGAATTTGTAAGTTTGTATTTTGTTAAATGATTTTAAATAGTGTCATAGCTAGATAGGCTCCATACACTTAATGATTAAAAAAAAAATGCAAGCAGAATCGAAGTCGAAACCGAACATAAATACGTCTACATTCAAAGACCAGCGAACGAAAATTCACCTTGTATCATCGCCGTCCCTCACAAGCCTCTAGCTATCACTGTCGAGGCTGCATATCCAAGAAATAGTGATGTTTCCGTCCTCACTTCCATGAAGACACCCGATCAGTCACACGGCCTGTATCGTCTTAATTTACCAATGTAACCCCCAGCACTATTATTACGGAGCAAAACACAATAATATCGAATCATGGGCCGGCAAAGACAAATCCTTCACCTTCTAGTAGTGCCAGCACAATGGCTCAACATGGTCTGAACACCTAGGATTGCAAAGATAAATTGCGTCCGAATCAAAGTCATTAGCAATCACAAGCACATCCTAAATTGACGTCTTCTCATAGATGTTGGACCCGTATTTCCCATGTGAGTCCTCCAACTTACTCATACCATAAACCAGCTCGCCTCAACAACAGAATGACTAGTTGCACCAACCATCATAATTATTAATTCATTTTGAATTTGATTTCATTTAACCCGATCAGGCACCTTATGGGTCCATGCAGGTGACTATCTTCATTATTTACAAAGGGGGAAACCAATTTGGTGAAAACCCCCTGATCCTGCCTGTTTAATAGCTATCAAAATTTCCTAGTTTACCTTCAGGAAGTGCATTTTACACTGTTAAGCCAGTGTGGACTCCGTTCTCTCCCCTTCATGATCGATTCATTTTTCCGACATTGCTGCCTCCACTTCCCCCGCAAGTCGAAACTGTTTTATCCATCCTTTGCTTAGTATCCACTGTGTGATTCGAGCGACATTCTCTGGACTGTTCATCATTGCTTCAAATGACCTGTCTTTAGCTTGTCGGAGAACATCGCCTCTTCCACTTGCCCACTGCGGACACGCCAATGGCATGTGCTTGACGTTCTGTGACGGATATCCACATTGACAGCGAGGGTTTTCTACTACGGGTACCTTTCTTCTGTATAGGTGAGAATTGAGGCCGTTATGCTCGCTTCTTAGCTGAATCGCGACACTGCTTTAGGCCCTGCTCAGGTTACGGTGGATACTTAAAGGTGTACCTCTGAAGTTAATTTTTGTACTGCCTGTTTTTTTATCGGTGAATATATTTGCAGCTTTCCAATGTATTAATTCATTTTATTGTCCTGTTTAAGTCTATGACTATGTAGGACATGCAGTTCCTCTCTGCCTACAGGCCAGGGATACCTATGCCAGTAGTATATCCCTCCTATGCCTCCCATACAGCTCCCCTCACAAGCCCGCATCCGATCATACACTTAGAGGAGCCCTTAACCCTTCATTATCTCCCCTATTGTTATAATAACGAGGTCATGAGGGGACAGAGGAATACCTGAAATGGATGCAAATGATTATGGATGCGCGGATATAATTGATATGGCTGTAGTGAGAAGAATCGTTGGAATGGACAGTAGTGAGATGGTTGATATGCAATTTACCAGCAGCAGTATTGCTTCTTTAAATATACATTCAGTACCCCAGTCCTGATCACGCACTCACCACAGGTGCTTCCTACTTTTGTCACAGTAATCGCTTCCATAGCCCCTGCCAATATCTCCTGTCATAACATACTATTGACACTGGTTGCTAGTGTGGAACTCCCGGGATTGCAGAGCTATACACCGTCGTCACATTATATGCTGCTGCCCCTCGGTAGCCATCAGAGTGATGTGCGCCTCAGTGAGGTTTTAAGTTCCTAGGATGCTAGATTGATAAAATGTGAATATACGGAAATCGTAGGTCACGATGTCTCGGGATTTCTACTATATCTTCTGTATAGTGAAATCTTAAGACGGAGTGTGACTCCCCCTCTAAATTTACAGGATGTGTCTAGTATATACAGGTTTCCAGCTTAGTGTGCATTATGCATAAAAACCGGGGTACACGTGACAAATTATAATACAATATTTATGATCATGGATCCTCATCAGTCTGAACGCATTGGTCCACCAGGCAACGCTCGGATGTAGGGATGTTGCCAGAGTGATTAGGTACTTAGCTGTGCTGTCAGTGCCCTAATCTCATCTAGCTTACTGCGGCCGAGTGTCCGAGTGCCGCGATGGTGGGAGCCCGATGAGGCTCGATCGGAGCTGACCCGAGGTATTCACAACACCTATCCAGCCAACGAAACGATGGTCATTTGTGGGTGTATGGCAGCCGGGAAAAATCGCAAACCACTGGGTGCGGGGCTCTCCTAATACCAACATTAAGACTAAATCCGAAGACATATTGCCTCTTCTGATGCGTTCGAAGATGCCGGCCAGCTGGGCGCTGCAGACTTATGGGTACCTCGGGAAATTCACTCTCTGCCTTTCTAGCATCCTTCCAACTCCTTCCTGAAGGTTGTGCTGAAATGTCAGAAAAGTCTTTACAGAGCGTGATTGCTGTATGGTAGCTTAGCCTAGCTTCTTTTGTACCTTCCAGGGCGCTGGGGAGTGCTGTTGACTCATCGACAATAGAAGCCCTCCTGGCTAATTAGCCGAAATCTTAGTCTTGGCGCCCACAAAAAATCCAAAACTGAAAACTTATCAAAGATGACAGTCCCAACATGGTCTTCAGATACCTCTTTGCCCTCTCGCTCCACAACGCAGCAGCCTGTCCTTCCTCAAAGTGTTTAACCTCATTAGAGCAGCAGTCCCCCATAAACCAAGACCCCAACTTTGTATATTGTGACTTAATTTCCTCCTTGCGGGTATACGTAGTGTCGTAAATTTGTAGTGAGTGATGGCCGGTGATGAATGAGGCAAGCTCCTGTTTGCAATTGGAGTGACGCCTTTATCAGTCGGCGAGGCGAGTTGATATGTGGTTAGATCGGGCTTGAGGACTCAGAAGATGATGGTGAGTGCTGCATGATTGAGAAGTCGTGAAATGGATATTTGCATGTGTTTGCTTTCGACTTCGATTCGGATGCGATTCATCTTGGCTATCCCAGATATACAGAACATACTGAGCGATTACACCGGCACCACTGGAAGGTGAAGAATTCGTCTTTGCCGGCTTCTCCCTTCTTAGTCCCGCCGCTCTTTCCGAAAGTTCACAACGTGCCCTCTGGACACTTCCCCTTCTGCCACGATTTATAGGCGTTACCGCAGTTACAGCAAAGCACCGACTTCCTCGGGCAGTCTCTGGTTTGGTGAGTGCGCGGGCACTCACCATATCATTTCGCCCTATTGAACGAGGCTTGAGTATGCCCCCATTGGCTGCAGTTTAAACACTGCTTGACTTGTGCCCGGAGTGACCAGAGCTGGGCCGTGTACAGCATTAAATTAAGTACAATGCCGTTTCGAATCACCTCGCGTTTAAGAGCCTCTTTCGGCAGGCTCGCGATCATCGACCCCCGAGTATGGCCGTTCTTGTTCATCCATTGGTGCTCCTTTCCGTCGTAGAGCCATCTTAACCTGTTTATTTGGATTCCAGGAATCCGAACATTTGTCTCCGTAGTTATTTGGTAAATCATTCTGCCATTGCGGCATTCTTTCCTCCCTGTGTCATTGTCC